TTTTTTTTTTTTTGGAGACCTGGGACCAGGGGACAGTGTGTCAGGGTAACGGGGGGGAGGCGACCCTTTTCAGGCAGAGATGAGGGGAATTATTTATATATTTTTTTGTTGTTGTTGCTGCTGGTGTTGGTGTTCTCTCGCTGGGAGGGTGGAGGAGGTGAAACCAGGGTAGGGGGGGAGCCCCAGTTCCCGGTGGGAGCTCGGCCGCTCTGCGTGTTGGGCCAGGGAGACAGTCTGGGTTGGGGTGTTGGGGGGGGTGGTGTTTGAAGCGCACGCCCTCAGCCCGTGGTCAGGCTAAACGGCGTGCCCGGTACAGGAATCTCTCCCGGTCTCCCCCGACCATCTGCATCGCTCTGTCTCTCTCGCGTGCTCTGACGCCCTCGTGTGTTTTTTTTTAAATTAATCTTTAAACCCCACCCAAACAACGGCAGGTGACCATCTCTTCCAGAAGTGGCTGGTGCTCTCCAACCTGCTGCGGTGCTCGGGGAGGCTCGTCTCTCTGCTGACTGCTCTCGGTAGTGCCCAGGAGGCAAAGGTGTTCTGCCTCGAGACCCTACGACTGACCGCGAGGCTGCACTGCGTCCGCTCGTAAGGCTGTGTCGGCTTCTGGCTGGGGGGTTTGTGGTGGGGGGGGGTAGGGGGCGGTGTCCGTGTCACAGGGCCTTCGGTTCACCCACAAACCGAGGTCCCCTCGTGCGCGGAGCATTCATCTCGAATCGGTCCGTCACCCCATTGGGATTTTTAAACCTCCCCCCCGCCCCCACCACCACCCTTTTCTTTTCCTGTTAATTGCTCACAAAGGGGGGGGGGGGGGGGGGTTGGTTTGAGGGTGGCGGAGGGGCGAACGCGGGAAGGGAGAAATGTGCCCCTCCACCTCCACCACCCAAAACACAATTAGAATCCGCCACGGTGGGATTTGAGCCCCGGGGGTGGGGGTGGGGGGGCGGTGGTGACCGGGGTTAACGTTCTGGCAATTTATATAATACCTCCCAGGGTTCCCACACTCCCAACCCCCATCCCTCAACTTCCCCTTCACTCCCAACCCCCACCCCCCCCACCAACTTCCCCTTCACTTCCCCACCCCCACCAACTTTGCCCTCACCATTCCCCATCCCTCCCCCTTCCCTCCCTGGGGAAAAGAAGCGTTTGTAGCGGAGTGGCCAATGGAGTTGATGCTTCCCAGTGGGGGTGGGGGTCAGTTTTCCTTATATTTTATTATTATATATAGTAATAATATGAATGGGGGATGTCCGGGTGCCTCTGTTACAGCTGTGCCAAGTTCCTGGTGAGCAGTGCCGAGTTGGAGACGCTCCGGGGTGACCCCCAGGCCCGAGACCTCGACCTGAGACTGGTCCTGCACCTCCTCGAGCCATCCCCAGGTCAGTCTCTCCCCTCCCTGAGTGGCGGGGAGGGTCTCGCCGTAGTTAGTAATCCCAAGGGGAAGGGTTGGGGGCAGCAGAAAGATCGCTGAACAAGGGAGAGAAAGAGAGGCGGAGGCTTTTCTTTCATTCGTGAATGGGGCTGACCGGGACAGCGTTTATCACCCGTCCCTAATTGCCCTGGGAGGGCAGCTCAGAGTCAACCACGTTGCAGTGTGGGTCTGGAGTCATGTTTAGGGTCCAGACCAGGTGAAGGATGGCAGTTTCCTTCCCTAAAGGGCATGAGTGAACCAGATGGGTTTTTTCCGACAATCGGGAACGGGTTCACGGTCACCGTTAGACTCTTAATTCCGAGAAATCGGAGTTAAGTAAGGTTTCTGGGTCGGGCGAGCCTTCCTCTGAACTGAGGGTAGGTAGGGAAACGTCAGGTTTATGTGCAGGAGATTGTGGAGGGTGAGGGAAGGGGGGTAAACGATAGGTGGGGATAGAGCCGAGAGAGAGAGAGCACAGTCAGACAGGCAAAGGAGTCGGTAACGATCGGGCTGGGGAGGGTAGATAGCTATCAGTGGGTCGTGTGCAACAGCAGACTGTGTGGGATAACGAGGCCTGGTTTTGTGTCGGGTTTTGGGGGCCGAGCAGGGGCTAGGACACGGGAGAGAGCTCAAGCTGGAAAGTCACCCAACCCTTAACGTCGAGCGCAGGAGGCCGCAGGGTCCCCAAGCTGGAGAGTAGGGGAAGCAAGGCGCCGCCCCCTCCCAGCTCGAGCTTTGCTGGGGCACGGCAGCGAGCCCAAGGCACAGATGTTGGGGGGGTGGGGGG